TACTTAAAAAGCCTATCAACATATTAGCATGCCTTTTCGACTAAAAGGGGTAACTTCTAATCTCTACCTTTAATCTACATCATAATCAACCAACCTGTGGTTGGATAGTTAGAGGGATTGTGGTATCCCCAGTCCATGACGAGGTGCCTACGGTGACTTTTTAAATTTTAAAATGATATGCCGGCTCAGTCTTTCAAAGGTGTTCATAGGGGTAGTGTGTGCGTTCATAGGGATGAGTGTATACATGTGTATATGAGCGCTTGTGTCTGTACTGATGTTCAAAGAAAAATCTGTAAACTTTTCTAGGTGATGTACCAAAGCAAAGTTTTTAGATATCTCGATACTAACATTAAAAAGGAAAGGTATATCATGGCTTTTAATTTTAAATACGCCACTGCAGTTGCAAAACACACACACAAAATGTAGTTACCGTGAAAAGTGAGCGTAGCGTCTGGCGGTCGAGCAGGTCCTTGCCATCCTCACGCGCCGCCACGTCGAGCAGCACGTCCAGGAAGTCGTTCTTCCTGGGCTGGCCGGCGTCGCGGGCACGCAGCCTCTGGTCCACCTCGGCGTCGAACACCACGTGCAGCCGCGCGAACAGCTTCGCCAGCCGCCGGCGCGTGCCCTGGAGGTCGGCCGGCGCGAGCACCGGGAAGAAGTCCGACAGGTTGGGGGTCCCCACGGCCTCCATGATGGCCGTCACCACCTCCTGGAACTCCCCGGAGCGGCTGTCGTCGTCGAGGCTCGTGAGGTCGTGGGAGAAGATGGTGCGGGAGAGCAGGTTCAGGCTGGTCGTGAAGGCCACGCGCCCCACGTTCACCGGCTTGCCGTCGCGCGCCAGCAGCGCGACGTGGTCCATGAGCTCGCCCACCTTCTCGATCCGGAGGTGGTGGAGCGCGTCGAGACGGTGCGGCGCGAAGAGCTCCGTGGCCATCATCTTGCGGAGCGCGCGCTACCGCGGCGCCGGGGGCAGCCAGGGGACGGAGCCCGCCGCGTGCATGCCGGTGGCGTCGGGAACGGACCGGGTGGCGAACGTGGCGTCGTGCCGCTGCAGGAACTCACGGGCCATGGCGGGAGAGGAGGCGACCACCGTGGTGACCGCGCCGAGGCGGAGGGACATGAGCGGGGCGCCGTGGGTCCTGGCCAGGCGGGCCAGGGAGCGGTGTGGCCTGTCGCCGAGGAGGTGGAGGCTGCCGATGAGCGGCAGCGGGCGCGGCCCCGGCGGGAGGCCGGAGCGCGCGTGGTTGAGGAGGTTGAGGAGGTAGAGGGAGAGCAAGGAGACGAGGAGCCATGCTAGCCAGGGAACAAGCACCGCCACGGCCACCATTATTGCTTCCTTTTCCTTGTGCTGCTAGGTCTCTGATAAAGCTGCTAGCTAGCCAGTCACGCAACGCTATTTATGCTGCTCCGTCGTGGTAGTATAGTCCGAGGAATGAAGACCAAATCTAGATGGGATTTAGCATCGAGGAAAACCTGCATCGCGTGGGCGAGGAGGTTGGTTGGTGATGCCTAACGTCAAAGCAGGATGGAAAACGAGCACAACATCTTCTTCCTCTGAACTAAAACCACGACACAATTTTTTGGAACCAAGGGAGTAGCAGTTTTTTTTTTTGAACCACAGAGTCACAGACATCATGCATGACATATACTATACGTACCACCTTATCCAAGGTACTTTCTTTTTCTTTCAAGTGTAGCATGACAACGGAAAGGATTTACTCTTTCTTGGTGCCTCCTTGTTTTCGTTTGGAAAGCCGCCATCAGATGAGATCACTCGATGATCCACCAGATAGGATTACTGCAACGCCGTTGCTGGCGGCTGGAAAATTTTGGCTGGAGCGTGGCAAAGTTCACATTTGGATCAAGAATTGTTTGGTCTTTGGAATAGAATATATGACCATAACGTACGGGATAGAGAAAAAAACAACATTATCCTTGGACCTCTGGATATCACGTGCCACTGCCTCCTTGTTTGGTCTTTGGATCTTGCGAGCTCGATCCATCCGTAGGTATCTGCTCAAAGACGTCGGCAAGCATAAAAATGAATTGTTAATTCTGTGGTGCTGCCGACTACCTGCCGTGGCCAAATGAAGTTGCATTAGCTGCGAATAAAATATGGGATGCAAGTCAGCTGCATCTGGATCTGCATGGGACTCCTGTGCTGCGCAGCCTGTAGAGCGGTCGCCCACTTTGACCATTCCGGCGGTTCACACCTCGCACCGGCTCCAGCTGCAGCTGGTGGTGTAAGTGCAAGCCGGCGCTCTTGCGTTGAATTTGTGATGCACGCACGCACGCACGCAAAGTCTTTTCCGCCTTCTTCCTTGAGAAGTGCAATGGATGAACCATAGGCATATGAAGCTACTTTAGAAACTTTTTTGCAAATTTATTTTATTTTTTGACAAAAGTCTCACGGATACATCTTCACATTCGACGTACACGCAGGAAGTTCCGTCGAAAAGCAGCCTTTTCCTTGGCCTATGCCAAAAACACAAAATAAATATGTCTTGAAACGATATTTAGAATCACTAAAATTTGTCTTTTTTACGGAGGCAAAACCAAAAGAGATTGTTTTCACTAAACTTTGTGCCGCGCACACATGTTACGGAGATGTATGCGTGAATATCTTTTTTGAATGTTTTGACATTTTAAAACATGTTTAAAATGTATTTCTTTTAAATGAGTTCATATGCCCATGGGTTCAATACGTCCTTGGCCTTTACTCTCCACCATAAGTTAAGAATATCTAGAACCGGATGCCCCGGACACCCGGACCGGCTATCCGGTCAGTGTATGGCCGAAAAATGCCACCCAACCGGCTTCTCCACAATCGATCCAAACGCTCAGTACCGCCACGTCGGATCTGGCCCACGCTGGCTCACCAACCCCATATAAAATGACCCTATCCGCGCCTTCGGCCGAAACCATAGCCGCATCCCACTTCACCCCCTCCCCCCTCCTCTCCCGGCGGATTTAGGTACTTTTTCTCATATCCAATGGGTCCATGTAAATACATTTTTGTTAAATCGCATCAACAACCAAACCACCCAACCATCTTGGAGAAGATGGCTCTTCTCATCAACATTTCCCTAAAAGTAGGGAGGGGCAACTGCTAATATATCACATCACCTCCATGCCAGCCGGCGAGCCGAGAACCCGATAGCAACCCACGTCACCACCGCCAACAGCTTGGTGCCTGGCGCACCTTGCCCAACTGTCTGGTCTGCCTCGCCGTGCCACCCTGGCCGCCTCGCCGGACCTCCCCCCGACTAGACATCTCTTACTCTCGCCCACAAGGTATTCCATGAATTTACTCGTCCAATTTTTTCAATGTTTCGAAGAATTGTCGTTGAGATTATGTGTGCCTGCATTGCAAATAAATTCTCAGGTTGGCTTGTTTTTCGATGACTCGTTGTCATATGAGAATGACAAACTTGATATGGGGCTTGCTTTTATGTGTAGACACGATGTCAAACAATAAGCCAATGCGGGGGTGGGGAGGGTCAGTGCCTAGGAATATCATACTCTGTTGACACAGGCAAGCCGGTCATGAAAAGTTTATGAAGGACTATTTTGGAGAGAATTCAGTGTTCGGGCATAAAACTTTCATCCCAATGTCAAGGATTTATTCTTGCGCATTGCTCATGTTGTGGGCGATCATTTCTCGTACATTGTGCATAGAAGAAATGAAGGTGTACCCGACAAGGTCTTATGTGTTTTGAAGAAGGTTGTAGCGGCGGTCAGGGCCGGCCCTGTGTTTTGGGAGGCCCTAGGCGAACTCAACGACATGGGCCCTTGTATCTCATATCACTTTCTTTCTTTTTTCTTCTTTTTTCAGCACCCCACAAATGCTTTTTCTTAGGCAAGATGGCAGGCTAATGTCCTAAAATAATGAAGAAAATAGAATACAAAGAATTAGAAATCTATACATCAGATGATTGAAACCCTAGACATGTACTCCCTCCGTTCCAAATTACTCGTCGTGGTTCTAGTCCAAATTTGAAACGGAGGGAGTACACAGCATGACAGAAAATTAGGATGGATCAGGGATGAATAGTTGAATACGTACTAAAGAATCAAAGAAACTGCTGAAGTTTAGCTTTGGATGGAATCAGGGGATGGAACAGGAATATGATACATGGATGGATACGTACTGTATTGCCGCCTTGCCGGATGCCGGATGGCTGAGCAGCGCGCGCAGCGACGACAACCAACGGCGGTCGACGAGAGGATGAAGTCACGAAGACGAACCGACGAGGGACGAAGGCACAAGACCAGATCTTAGATTGATTTGTTGCACAGCAGCGAAGCGAGCGGCCGTGTGGCTGGCGTGACGCTTCGCGATCACTACCTAGGGCACCTAGCTATGGGTCTAGCCCATGTCCTTTCGTTTCTCTTGTATAGTTTTTTTCTTATGTATGTTTTGCTGGGCTGTATAAGATATGTATCCTAATCATGGGCCCCCTCCCAGCCTGGTCCCTGGGCCATTGCCCCTCCGCCATACCCCCAGGCCGGCCCTGGCGGCTGTGGCATGCATGCATATGGTTGTCCAACTAATTCTATTGATAATTGGATTGGAATGACAAAGAGCAGTTTCATACATAGTTGGAAGAAATTTGTGAAGTCTGAGATTCAGATCTTTGGAGAAGAATATCTCAGAGCTCCAAATGAGAGGACACTACAGGACTTCTTGAGATGGGTGCATCAAACGACTCTCTCGGTATGCTTGCCAGTATCGATTACATCCATATTTTCTTGAGTAGACATGATAGCAATTCAAGCAAAGATAGCACACAAGGTATTTTTGGTATTTTTTTAGAGAAGTAGAGGGAGATGAAAAAGAGAAGGCAAATAAAAGAAAATAGCAAAGGAAAGTAAGACAAGTAAATGGTAAATTTGTGTGAAGGAACCTGTATTTGTTTGGTGAAGCCACCCTGGGAATGACGCCCGAAATTTTTCTGGTACTTGTGGCAGGCGTTGAGATTTTCCTGAAGAGAAGGATGATGTAGTATAGTAGCATATGGTATTTCCCTCAGTTAAGAACCAAGGTTTATTGAACCAATAGGAGACACCACACAAACAAAGTAAGCGGTACCTGCACTCACACAAACACAGCAAATACATGCACCCAATAAGGGCAAGAGGGTTGCCAATCCCCTTGTACTCGTCAATTGCAAGGATTAAATCCGATAGTGATAGATAGATAAAATAAGAAAGGAAATAAAAGTAAATAAATAAAGCAACTATTTTTTAGGGTTTTAGTAAATACAAAGTGAGTGGATCCGGGGGCTATAACATTCACTAGAGGCATGTCTCTCATACACATACCAACGTTGAGTAAACAAATTACTGTTGGGCAATTGATAGAATAGCACACAGTCATGACGATTCTTCATGGCATGATTAATACATAGGCATTACATCCGATACAAGTAGACCAACATCCATCTGCATCTACTACTATTACTCCACCCCAAGACCGCTATCTAGCATGCATCTCAAAGTATTAAGTGCGTAACAAACAAAGTAATGCTTGAAGCATGATGACATAATGTAGACAAAGTAAGATCAAACAATATGTTCGAACCCCGTCGTTTTAACATTGTAGCAACAATACAAATATTTGCCTTGCAACTCCCGCTGTCATAGAGTAAGGACACCGCAGATTGAACCTACTACCAAGCGCCTCTCCCACTCAAGATAAATTGATCTAATTGGCCAAAATAGATAGATAGATAGATCGAAGAGAAATAGAAGGCTATAAAATCACACATAGATTAATCTTAGAGAAGACTCAAATACTTACAATGAATAGTCTGATCATAAACTCATATTTCATCGGATCCCAACAAACACACCGCAAAAGTTTACATTGGATTGATCTCAGATGAGATCATTTTATTGAAGATCAAAAGAAAGAAAGAAAGAAAGAAAGAAAGAGCCATCTATCTACTACTATGGACCCGTAGGTCCAGTGGAAACTACTCACACATCATCATGGAGGAAACAAGGTTGATGAATATGGCCTCCGTGATGGATTCCCCATGTGGTAGAGTATCGGAAAAGGCATCCAGACGGGATCGCGGAAGAACAAAGGCTTGCGGCGGTGGAAGAATTGTTTTAGCTCAATGCGGTGATGGTTGCCGCCATTGTCGATGTTGAAATCAATCTCCTCTCGGTCTGAGCGGATTGCAGGTCGTGGCGGTGGCACACACGCACAACCCTAACTCTCGTTTTGATCTCAAATCTCGTACATACCATTTTCAACCCTTCCACGCCGGCTCTTCTTAATCCGTCCAATCACGAGCTTCTCGATCCCTAGGAGGGCTC